TATATGAAACTATTTTAAATTATTAATAAAGATATAAGCAAGGCCTCACCTTAATACCAAAAAAAAAAAACTATTAACTACAATAGTAAAGATGCAGAACTTATCAGAAAAGCCAAGGTAATCATTTGGAATAAAGCTCTGATAGCTTTTTACCAAGCTTTAAATATAATTGAAATCAGCCTTCAAGATTTAATGCAATCCAAACAACTGTTTGGAGGAAAAATTATAGTACTGAGTAATGATTTCTGACAAGTTTTGTCTATAGTCTAAAAAGGATCAAGAGCTGCTTGTATTTCTGCATGTATTAAAAAATTACATCTTTGAAAATATTTTAATATTATACAGTTTTATCAAAATATGAGAACTTATGTTGAAGAAATAAAATTTGCACAGTAGCTTCTTTATCTTGAAAATAGAACCCTTCCTATGACTAATGATGAAATCGAAATTCCAGTACAATGCATTTTAGCAAGTAATTTAGTAGCTGATGTTTTTAATGATGTGTTGAAAAATAATGATGAAAAAATCTTACTTTCTACTATTATCCTTTGTCCTAAAAATCAATTAACTCTTGATGTATGTAATGAAATTATTTAATGAATATGTGATTAGGAAAAAATATCTTAGTATTGATAAAGCAACTTATAAACAAAATAAAAATCTAACAGAATTTCCAGAAGAATTTTTGTATACTTTAACTCTAAATAGACTTCTACTACATTGTTTAATCCTTAAAGAAGGTGCTGTTATAATATTACTATGTAATCTTAATGTTAATCAAGGCCTTTGCAATAGAACAAGAATGTTCATAAAACAAATGCACAACTATGTTTTAGATTGTGAACTAATAAATGAAAACAATACTAACCAATGAGTCTTGATACCAAGAATCAAATTATGCCCAACAGATTATTTATTACCTTTTCAATTTATGAGAACTTAATTTTCTATTTAATTTGTATTTACTATGACAATAAATAAATCACAGGGTCAAACATTTAAACATGTTGGTTTAATGCTTACAGAATTAGTTTTCAGCCACAAACAACTATATGTTGTATTTTTATAGGCAAAAAGTTTTTTATTATAAAGGTTAAACTTCTACCTGGTTAAAACAGAACAAAAAACATTGTTTACCAAGAAGTACTTAATCTTTAATAATCCTGAATTTATTTTTTTAAACTAATAGCAAACCATTACTTAAGAGTTTTATAAAAAAAAAAGCAAATTATTTTCAACAAATATCAATTGTTTATATAATGTAACCTTTATTTTTCACAAATAAAATATGTGAAAACACTTTCATTTAGCTTAAAACATTTTGTTATATTATAATCAAAAATAAATAATTACAATTTATTTTTATTCATATACTAAATTTTTAATAGAAAAATATAATTCATTTTGCTATTATTCTTCATTAATAGAATCAGTTAATTATTACTATTGTAAGTTGTACTATGAGTTAAATAAACCTTGTCCTTTTTCCTACTATATTCAGATTTTTTTTGACTTTTGTCAACATTACTTGTCAATTTTTTTAACTTTCTCTTTTTGATCAACTTAGTAACAATATTATTTTCTTCTAACTGAAACCTACAATCAATCTGTTCTTTTAAATAATTAGCATTTTCAACACTTGATAAATCTTGTTCATCTATGTAATTAGTTTTTAAATGCTTTGAAGATTGTAATTCATCTGATAATTGTTTTTAACTACTTTCTCTGAATTTTTAAAACCCTTTTGGTAAGTATTTAATAACTTTGATTAAGTTAAATTTGTAGATTCTAATGATATTTGAAAACTACTATCATCAGGAATCTTTATCTTATTAATATTAATATTATTAATATTTTTTGCATATATAAAAAAACCATCATTAATCAATTCTATCAGACCAACCACAAAAATAATAAACTCTTGTGATCAAATAACATTCTTAATATAACTAAATCTTGGCTCAAGGTATGAATAAGCAACCTTCACAATAAACTTATAATTTTGATTAGCATAATTACTCACAAGTATATCAAAGACAGCATTCTCATTATCACTAACCTTTCTTGGTATTTCTTGAGCAACTCCAACTAATGAAATTTTTAGTAGGTACTTATTTGATTCAAAAACTTTGTCAAGAATTTTTAAATGATTAGACAAAGAAACTATCATCTAAATAATACATAAATAAATATATCAAATTTACAAAAAATTTTAATAAGCATGTCTAATTACCTTCAACCTTGTACTATTATTATATCTTCTAGAGACAATTTTACCTTCAACTAAATAAAATTTGTTTTTTTTTAAAAACAGCTTGTGTATCAAAATCTCTCTTTTTCAGATCAATCACTACAAATAATGTTATTTCAATTTCACATTCCTCATGTTCTATAGAATATGTACCAATTACCCAAACTAAAGCAAAATTATTACTTTTATTTTTATTCTGTCAAACATATTTAATTCTTATGATCATCTTCTGTAACATAATATGATACAAAAAACTTTTCCTTATTTATAATAGACCTAATAATAAATAAAAAAAACTTTTCATGTAGGTGTAGCAACCTAGTGAAGTGGTCAGGTTGTCAATTCTCCAAGTGGTAGGTTGGGTGTTCAAATCCTATCGACAGCAAAAATTTGGATAATCACCTATGTAATATTCATATTATAGCAACTGTTACTAATGATTGGGTTAGGATATTTGTAATGGTGGTCACACCAGCATAACTGGCAGGTCATGAGGCATCTGTGTAAGTATGATGTTACACGGAAGAATGCAAACTGACAAATCAGGCAGTACAAACACTAGATAAGTCCTTGTAGCTGTGTAAATCTGTTGAAATTAGGTAACAAAAAGTTTATTTGAAAAGACCCAAGTAGAAAGATAACTGGATCTTTAATAGCTCTACTGTAAAGGCTAGCTCAGAAAAACAGATACTAAGATTATAGTACCCAGTCATAGTAGCCAGATAGGCAAGAATCTCTGGGTTGGAAGTCTCAGAGGTACTACCAATCAGGCTGCTGAATCGAACCAGAGAAAAAGAATATTGGGCTGACCCAATATACTGATGGACTGATCATAGTCCTACATAGGCTATCTGTATTGAGAGTTTGGTAAAAAGGCAGATAAAAAGGCA